TTTTTCGCTTGTTCTGTTTTTCATTTTCACATTTAAGGACAAAAGAACGAGTCAACAGACAGGCTGCAAAGAAGGAAAGGCAAAGAAGAAGAACAACCTGCCAGTGGAGAGAAGAAGAGGCCAGCATCAAAAATTGTCTTGTTCACTTAACATCCTAATGAGACTCAAGAAATTTCAGAGGCAAGGAAGAAAGCCAGAACACAAAATCAAGTGGTGAAGGCAGCCAGCCATAAACGACTCTCACCTCCCCAATGAAGGCCATGATGTGGAATTGTAGAGGGCTGGGTGGGCCCTCTACAGTTCCCCAATTGCGAGAGTCTTTGAAGACTCACCATCCAGGTTTTGTGTTTCTTTCCGAAGTTAAAAAACAAAGAGAATTTGTATCTAAAGTCTGTCTGGAATTAGGCTTTGAGGATAGATGGTTTTACTGGGAGCCCTCTAGCACCAGAGGAGGTCTTCTTTTATGCTGGGACAGAGATATTGAGATTATTCAAATGAAAGGGCATGACTTCAGTATTCAAGCTCATTATAGAGTGGTGAACTTCATTAATCAGGAGTGGATCAACTTTGTGAATATGAGCACAAATAAGCAAGATAGAGAGATGCAGTGGAGATATATGCAGGAGGATATGGTTCAATGGGGTGAAGTATGGGTTACAATAGGTGATTGGAATGACATATGTTGCAGAGAGGAAAAGAATGGAGGTAGAACAAGAAATGACAAAAGCTTTGAAGGATTCAATCATTTCATTGCTCATATGGGAATTTCTCAAATTAAAATGGAGGGCTACCAATTTACATGGGGGAATAACAGATAGGAGGAGGGATATGTTGAGAAAGTCTTGGACAAAGCTTTTGGCTCTCTGAAATGGATGGAAGCTCACCCTCAAGCTTGTGTCCAGAACATTTTCAGAAGCTCTTCTGACCAAGGTATGTTGCTGCTTAACTGAGATTCCAATTCCAAACCAATGAAGTCTAGATTTGTGTTTGATAAAAGATGGATACAAAGGGGAGGGGAGTGAAGTGGTGAACACAATATGGAGTGGAGTAGAGACTGGCATACCTTTTTTCATCCTCAAAGAAAAGATTAAGAAGACAAGGCTGGCATTGTGCAAATAGAACAGAAGCTACAGAGCAGAGAGTAAAGGGAATATTGAAAAATTAATTATGTCCTTAGAAGACATGAGGAAGTTGGGGGGAGGAAGGAACTGGGAAGAATGAGAGTCCATTCAAGCAAAATTAGATGCAGCCCTTATTTAAGAGGAAAATTTCTGGCAGCAGAAGTCTAGAATTTTGTGGCTCATAGAAGGTGACCGCAATACAAAGTTCTTTCATGCAATGACTGTTCACAGAAAGAGAAAGAATGCCATTTCAAGGCTGGTGGAGGGAAGAAGAGTTTTTGAATCTACTGAGGCAATTGAAAAGCATATTATCAACTTTTATGACCATATGTTCACTTCAGGTGGCTCAAACAGTAAGGAAGAGGCTCTCTGCAATATTGAATCAGTTGTTACTCAGAAAATGAATTATAAACTCACCAGAGCTGTGGAGAAAGAAGAGATTAAAAGTGCCATTTTTCAAATGAACCCTTTGAAGGCTCCAGGAGAAAATGTGATGACTGCCCTATTTTACCAGCATTTCTGACCAGTGATTGAAGGGGATATATGCAGTGATGTATTGAGTTTCTTTGAATCAGGCCAAATTCTAAGGTATGGGAATCAAACTCTGGTGGCTTTAATTCCCAAATGTTTAGCTCCTACTTCTTTGAGTCAGTATAGACCTATCAGTCTATGTGCAGTAGTGTACAAGTTGATCTCCAAAATATTGGCTGGCAAGTTGAAAATATGTCTTGAAGTTTGTGTTAACCCTGCTCAAGTTGCCTTCATCCCAGGAAGACAGCTTCTTGACAATGTGGTAATTGCACAGAAGATTTTTCATTTTCTAAATCGACACAGATCAGGACCTCATCATTACATGGCTTTGAAGCTTAACATGCTAAAGGCTCATAACCGTGTGGAGTGGACATGTGTGAAGAAAACTATGGAGAAAATGGGTTTTGCTGCTGTCTTCATCAAGTGGATTATGGCATGTATCACAACTTTCTCTTTTTGTTTCTTGGTTAATGATAAAGCAGCAGGGCACATCAAACCAACCAGAGGCTTGAGGCAAGTTGATCCAATATCACCATATCTTTTCCTTCTTGTCTCTGAAATTCTTTCTTCTATGATTCAAGCTGCTGTGGACAGAAATCAGTTCAGAGGGCATAGAATTGCCAGAGGTTGTCCAATTATTACCCACCTATTGTTTGCGGATGATTCATTGGTATTCTGCAAGGCTGAGCAGGGTCAAGTTAGGAGTTTGCTGCATATCCTGCAAATTTATCATAATTTCTCTCGCCAACATGTGAACTTAGCTAAATCAACTGTATTCTTCAGCAGGAATACTCCCCAATCACTGAAGTAGTCCTTGTGTGGTTTTATGGAAGGCTCTTACACGCGCCTGTGACTAGGCCGATCTGTTGGGTGTTGAGTCCACGAGATGCTCGACCTGCTGAGGTCGATGAGTTTGATCGATCGTTCGTCTGGTCGAGCGATGGATTGGTCGACTGTTTGTCTGGTCGAGCGGTAGGTTGGTCGACTGTTTGACTGGTCAACAAGTTGTCTTGCTCGAGCTTCTCATTGTCGGGTTCGATTTTCCCCATGATATGACTCTCCAAATCGGTTCAGCAGACCGGTCTATCTTGGGGTATATAATATCAGTGTTCATGCTCATAATTCCACAAAGTACTTAGGACTGCCTCTGGGAATTGGGAAGTCCAAGAAGGAAGCCTTTGCTTTTATCATTCAAGCTGTTAGAAAAAGATTACTGAGCTGGCAAAACACTTACCTGTCCACAGCTGGTAAATAAGTCTTGATAAAGGCTGTGGTTAATGCCTTGCCTGTTTTTGCAATGAGCTGTATCAAGCTGCCAGCATCCATTTGCCAAGAATTGAGCAAGATTACAACAGCTTTCTGGTAGAGCATGGGAGCAAAACATGAACGGGGAATTCATTGGAGACAATGGAACAAGCTCACTGTGCCTAAAGTTGATGGTGGCTTTGGTTTCCATGATTATAAATTTTTCAATGAGGCACTAATACTGAAACAATTATGGAGACTTACTACTTTCCCTGATCTTCTTATGAGTAGACTACTAAAAGCAAAGTACTTTCCCCATACTTCTATTTTTGAGGCAAAAAAGGTTAACTCTGCATCATGGCTATGGAACAACTGGGTAGACTTCATCCCAACTTTTGCTAAGGGTCTGAGCAAAGAGATCATAAGTGGAAGAGAGACCAAAATTCTTGATCATAGCTGGGTACCTACCTTATTGCACAAAAGCCCCCAACCTTTGCAAACTGTGGATGAACCTCTAACTTGGGTGTGTAACTTAATCAATGAGGATGGGAGAGGCTGGAACAATCACCTCTTAGCAAGAGCTTTTCCAGAGAGTGACAGGAAGGCCATTCTTGCCATTAACTCCCTGAGACCAGAGCTGCCTGACAAATGGTTATGGAAATTTGATAAACAAGGAAAGTTCAAAGTTGCAGACTCTTACTCTTTCTTGATGGATGGAAAAATTCAGAGGCTGGACTTTCCAGAATGCAATTCTACAGGCCACAGTGATAAAAAAATCAGAGATAGGAGCTGTAAGATGAGAGTGAAAGGAAACCTAAAGCACTTCATTTGGAAGTATTTTAATGGAATTCTGCATGTAAGTGTTAATTTAGCAAAAAAAAAAAAAAGGGTTCAAGTGGATGTGATCTGCAATCAATGTGGAGAGCAAGAGGAGACTATAGAGCACTTGTTCTTTGCTTGCAGAAAAGCCAAGAAGGTATGAAAGTTGTCTCCTTTGAAATGGGATGGAGTGCTGCATGGTGAATCTTCTTTTAGACAATGGTGGTGGCAGGTTTGCTCAACAGATTCATCTGTCATCTCTGAGGACTGCATACAACTGACCACTTACATTTTGTGGTAGTTGTGGCGGTTTAGAAACTTATGGCTGTTTGAGAAAGCCTAGATTCCAGAAGAAATGGTGATGTAGAGGGCGTGGAAAGATTGGATGGAATTTGCTGGGAGCTTCGCACAGGTGGAGGCTGAGTTGTAGTTAGTCTGGTTTTTCTCTTCTAATGTTTTTTTCTTCTTTTGATTATGTTGTTCGGTTTTTAGTTCTTTCTTTTGTTTTCTTTTAGCTGAAGTTTGTTTGGTGGATTTACGACCTTAAGTCTCGAGGATTCTCCCTTGCTTAAGGATCGTAGTTGGTTGTTGTTGTCTAGATCACTCCTTGAGTGCATCTCCCTTTGTAGTGTTGATTTGTCTTGGTTTTTAGCTGGTTTGTATTGAACTTTGTACCATTTGTTTGTGGTTTATGTTAATCATCCATCGCTTTGGAAAAAAAAAAGTATAGGAGGTAATTTTCTTTTTTGAAAACTGGAACAAAATCGTTTTGGGCTCATCGGACTTCTAATTCAACCCAACTACAATTTATTGGGTCCCATGACTTTAGTCCATCCATAAACGAACAAAACGTTGAAGCCCAAATAGTAATTATAGAACGACTTTTAATCCGCGCGCAAAGTTTTCAGACAGTAAAATTGCGTTTCCGCTCCCTTTTTTCTCAAAACTTTTTATTTACTTTTATTATTCCGCGCCAAAATAAGAACTCTCGATAAAAGCAAATAATCCCGCGAAACTTACGACCATTATTGGCGCCAACCTCCATTTTCGCCACCCTAATATGATGATATCCGCCATCTTCCCTTTCCTCACTCATTCTTGATTCACCACTTTGTCTTTTTCATTTTTTTTTTGTTTCTTGATAACCACCTAAAGTGTTTTCCTTTTTGCTCTTACATCTTCAGTTCCCCCTTTTCACTGCCTTTTCTTGTTTAGTTGTTTCTGTAATTTTTTTTTTTATTTTTTTATTTATTTATTTTTTTTATCTGATCTAGGAGAAAAGCCATGGGAACAATAGTGGAATCAGAATCCATGGAGTCCAGAATAAAAAACGTGAGGTCGATTGTTGGCTCTAGGGTTGCAGAAAGCGACATTTGCGAAGCTCTATCGCGATCCAATAACAACGCATGCGAGGCGATCTGTCTCATTCTCAGTTCACCCTCGATTTTCAAGAATCCCCATTTAACCGCGTACAAAACTCTCACCTCTACCGGTGGCTCGAGAATCTCCACTTTACAGATAAGCCCACCGGAGAGTCTCGAAGAAGGGGTGGAGGGGAAATTTTCGGAGGGGCTGGGTGTGGTGAAGCAGGAAGAGCCTCTATGTGTTGTCGAAAATGTTGAAGCCAGGCGAGGCGTAGGCGGTGGAAAGGAAGGCCGTGTGTTCGGAGATTGTGAGACGGGTTTAGGGTTTCAGGTGACTGAAAAAGTCAAGGAAGAATGCGATTTAGGTTTTCCGAGTGGTGGTGAAAATCCATCCCGCTCGGTTGGGAGGAACAAGCTGAGTTTTGAAGAGTGGCTAAAATTGCAAGATTCTGAAAAGAAAGTTGAGGAAAACAAGGACAGCGACATGGGTGTTGGAGTGACAGAGTTTGTGAAAGTAAAAGAAGAACAAGAAGTGGGTTTTGTCAGTAATGAGGTTTCTAGAGATGAAATGAATGTTTTAAGTGGTGTAAGATCATCTGGGTTGAAGCAAGATTGTCTAAATTTGCACAACCCTGCTAAGAGAGAGGAAAATCAGGACATGGACTTGGATATGAGTGTTGGATTGGAGTGTGTTCAAGTAAAAGAAGAATGTCATGTGGATAATATGAAAGTAGAGACCTTTGAAGATGTAAAAGTGAAGGGAGAAAGCGATGTGAAAAACCTCGTCAAGAAAGAAGATGGGAAAAAGAATGAACACGAAAGTGTGATTGGAGTGAAGGACAAAGTGAAGGAGGCTCTGAGTGTACGGCCACTCAGTGCGAGAAAATTATCTGATGAAGATTGTATGATATTTCAAAGGAGATGCAGTAATAATGGTAAGCCTAAGAGTGAGAGAGTCGAAGATAAGAGCTTAAGTTCTGTGGTGATTGAGGACGGGGATTTTCCGGAGGATCCCGACTGGTTGTTGGTGGGTAGGACAGTGATTACTGGGCTCTCAACAACAAAAGGGAGGAAATTGGTGAATAATGAGATTGTGCATTTTGCTTTTCCAAATGCCAATGGAAGGAGTAAGAGCAGCACTCATTTTATGAGTGCAAAGGCTGCTAATGCTGCTTCTAGCATTGTTCGATTCTCAACAAAAAGATCTGGAGAGGTACATCTTTTTGAGAACTTAACTGATCTTATTTGATTTATTGTTCACTGCATTGCGTATTTGTTGTCGTTTCAGATTTCTTTGATTGGCGCTGTATTCTGTGTCTGGGATTTTATACCATGGCAGTCTTGCTTAAAGGATAAGTTAAATTGTAATTAATGTTGCCTTTTAATCTTACTTGGTCACACATTTCATGCTAGGTGTTCTATGCGAAGAATATACTGTTACATTTGTGGATTGATCTCAAAGCTTCATGTAAAATGCTATTTCTCCCTTGCATTTGTTTTTTGTCTTGCTTCAGAATTTGCGTTTTTGCCTGTTGTTGAATTCATTATTGTTACATTAGTGCTCTACAAAATGAACTCTGGTCTTCTTGCTTGGGCTTGTACTTGTCAGATTGGACGTTTGCCAATGGAGTGGGCAAAATGCCTCGTCCCACTCGTGAATTCATCAAAGGTGAAAGTACTTGGCCGTTGTGTAGCTGCTCCTGTTAGTCTTTTGTTGATGCAAGAGATTATGTTGTATGTGAGGTAATAAAAAAAAAATAACAAAATTGGAAGGGTCTAATTTTAATCCAGCTGAAAGAAATGGTCTCAATAGATTTGCATGGTAATATATAATTCTATGATCTTGTCTTGCAGCTTTTATATCCATCATTCAGTCTTTACCAATGGAGATAATTCGTCGTGGAAGCTTGAGCCAACAAATATTGATTCCACCATTTATCCTCTCCTTAATTTGTTTAAACTGCTGAACGTAAATCCATCTCAAAAGGTACCTGATATTCTTATTAAATAATTAGCATCTGCAAGATTCACTACCTATCTATTTCATGATTCGATATTTAATGCATATGGTGCTCCTTGTTTCCAACAGGCGGAATTCACGCCCGAAGAACTTGCTTCTCGAAAACGCTCCTTAAAGTTAGATGTATGTGTATCCAAATATATGTTTCTATTTCCACATCTCGAGCTAGAGTTAAAAGAGAAAAAAAATACGAACTTCACAGGAAATTAAAGTTCTTTATTATGCATGTTCACCACAAATAAATAATGATATAATGAAAAATATTCATGATATTTTGTATTGTTCAGGATGAGTCTGATGGAACTCTCTCAGTGTTGCCTATGGCAAAAAGAAGAAATGGTTGCCAAATTCAGGATAATGACAAAACCGAGCAGGCTATTTCAGAAGCATCTTTGAACAAGCTTGTTGGTGCAGTAGATATGTATAACTTAGAGGTATACTTTCATAGTTGGCCCTTTTTTTGCCTTGAATTGTGATGGGATTTGTAAAATTCCTTGTTGATCCTCATTCTCTTTCTTTATCTGTGTTTTATAAAACATAACAGGAAATGGAGCCTCCAGAGACTCTTGGTTGTGATTTAAGGCCATACCAAAAACAGGCTCTTTACTGGATGTCTGAACTTGAGTCTGGTGCAAATGCAGAAGAAACAGCTAAAACCCTTCATCCATGCTGGGCAGCTTATAGTGTGTGCGACGAGTATGACGTTTTCTTTTTTTTTTTTCTTCATTACTCACCGTTTAGAGATGAAAAATATATAACCTAAAATTGGGGTAACTTAATTTTCAACTGGTTCTTTGGTCATTACAGGAGGGCCCCTGCAATTTATGTCAATGTTTTCTCCGGAGAAGCAACCACACAATTTCCAACTGCAACACAGATGGCACGAGGAGGGGTAATATCGACGTCTTTTCATACACAATGTAGAAATAGAGGATATATAGTTACAATTATTTATCTTGTCATTTCGTTAAAACATTTCCGAAATTTCAACGTGATGAGGGTATACATGCAGATATTGGCCGATGCTATGGGACTTGGGAAAACGGTGATGACGATTGCGTTAATACTTGCAAGAAGAGGTCGGGGGATCAATGAGGATCAACAAGTTGACCAACAAGAATTTGAAGTCAGGAGTCAACGTAGCAAGAATAGGCAGTGGGCTACTGAAGGGTTGAGGAAGCTAAAAGGTGGCACTCTCATTGTTTGTCCGATGGCTTTGCTTAGCCAATGGAAGGTACACTTTCAGAATGAGCTGCAGTTTCATATTAATTAATTTGGCTTTACTTGGTCTGAATGTAATTGTGATGTCTACGCATATGTAGGATGAGCTTGAAGCGCATTCAAAGCCGGATAGCATCTCGGTATTCGTGCATTATGGTGGTGACAGGTCCAATGATGCTAGAGTGATAGCTGAGCCTGATGTGGTCTTGACCACTTATGGTGTACTGACTTCAGCTTATAAAAGTGTATGCATCTCTTTTGTGCTCTTGAAAAATGCCATTATAAATTTAAAAATAAAAATAAAAAAATAAAAGGAAAAAAGAAAATGAAAATAACATACTCTAAATTGGCTAAGCTTTAGTAATTACAACAGTTCAAATGTTTTTTTTCTATTCAAGATTGTTGAGTCTTTTTTGTTGCTTGATACAGGATTCTGTTAATAGTATTTTCCATAGAATCGAATGGCATCGAGTGGTGTTAGATGAAGCTCACACAATTAAATCATGGAAGACTCAAGCTGCTCAGGCAGCATTTGCACTGTCCTCTTATTGCCGCTGGTGTCTTACTGGCACTCCTATTCAGGTACTTAATCTTGTCGTCCATAAAACTGCACATGAATGACCAAAATATAACCGAGTATGCATCTATAGAATGTTAATTCCATACTGATTTGATGATGGTTTGTCTAAGATGAGCTGTTCTAATATAAAATAGTTGACATGGCTATTTGGTTTGGTTTTGATAATGAATGAATTGTTATTTGTTCAACTATACAATAATCTCTCGGTTTATTGCAGAACAATTTGGAAGACCTGTACAGCCTTTTGTGCTTCTTGCATGTTGAACCCTGGTGCAACTGGGCTTGGTATGAACTTAATCTGCAAATAACTTAAAGCTTTTTTCATAAATAGCCTGAAAATGCATTTTTTCGAGCTAGTCGTAATTCTGTATGATTTTCAGGTGGAACAAGCTCATTCAAAAGCCTTATGAAAATGGTGATCATAGGGGACTAAAATTGGTCAGGGCCATTTTGAGGCCCCTTATGCTGAGAAGAACAAAGGAGTCTAAGGATAAAGAAGGAAGGTAGTTACATTTTCCTTTACATTCTCTATCTGCATTGTTGCTGTTAACCAACTTGCTCTCATCATAATCTTGAACATTTCGAAAGCTTCTTTGTATTTGTAAAACTAATATTCAGTAATTCTCCCAATGTTTTGATTGCTTATCAGAAGCATTATATAATGAGATCCTTATTCTTATGCTTGCAACATAGGCCCATTCTTGTTCTCCCGCCAACTGATATTCAAGTCATAGAGTGCGAACAATCAGAAGCCGAATATGACTTTTACAGTGCACTCTTCAAGAGATCCAAAGTAAGTTTCTTGATGTTCTAACTAATGATTTTTCCCATGCTACATACAACATATATTAATCTTGGGATTATTTTGTAAACAGGTCCAATTCGACCAATTTGTTGCTCAAGGCAAAGTCCTCCATAACTATGCCAACATTCTGGAGCTTCTACTCCGTCTCAGACAATGCTGCAACCACCCCTTCCTAGTCATGAGGTACAGACAAAATCAACTTTCTCAAACTGAAAAAAAAAACCAAAGAATGAAATGCTACTAAAAGTTTCAAATCTAATTCAAGCACATATTTTGTTTTCAGCCGAGGTGATACAGAAAAATATGCCGACCTCGATAAACTTGCAAACAGATTTCTCCAAAACAATCCCGACTCGACCACCCAAACGTGCCCTTCCCGAGCATACGTTGAAGAAGTTGTTGAAGGAATAAAAAACGGAGAAAACACAGAATGCCCAATCTGCCTTGAATCTGCAGATGACCCTGTCCTGACCCCATGTGCACACAGGATGTGCAGAGAGTGTCTCCTGTCCAGCTGGCACACGCCGGCCGCCGGCTTCTGCCCAATCTGCAGACAAGTTGTGAGAAAGACAGAGCTGATCACATGTCCGACTGGTACCCGGTTCAGAGTAGATGTCGAGAAGAACTGGAAGGAGTCCTCGAAAATACTGAGCCTTTTGGATTGTTTGGAGAATATACGTAAATCGGGTTCTGGTGAGAAGAGCATTGTGTTCAGCCAGTGGACTTCGTTTTTGGATCTTTTGGAGATACCGTTGAGAAAGAGAGGATTCGAGTTCTTGAGGTTTGATGGGAAGCTTGCGCAGAAAAAGCGGGAGAAGGTTTTGCATGAGTTTGCCGACACTAGAAACAAGACTGTAAGTATAAGAACTTATAAGAAACAACCGAAAACTGCTAACCGAATCTTTGCTTTGTTAATGGTGATAATGATTTTCTATTGGTGCTTTAGGTAATGTTGATGTCCTTGAAAACCGGTGGTGTGGGCTTGAATCTGACTGCGGCTTCTAATGTCTTTCTAATGGTATGTACAAGTACAACTCACCATTAACTATTCATTCTAGTGATTGTATGTGTTATATAGAAGTAATACATTTGAAATGCTGCATTGATTGAAAAGATTAATGAAATAATTTTATGTTTATCGTTAAAAAAATAAAATTTTTAATTTGTATGATTCTTATGGCTTGAATCTTTGTTATGTTATATGCACACAGGATCCATGGTGGAATCCTGCAGTAGAGGAGCAAGCAATAATGAGAATTCACCGGATTGGACAGAAGAGGACTGTCCATGTAAGGAGATTCATTGTTAAGGTGATTTTTCTCTTCATTCTACATCATTTTTTCTCTTTGATTTTGTACTTTACATCACGTAGTCGACTTTCTTCCCAAGTTTCCAACGTGAAAATTTGACGTTTGCATGCCTTTTTTTTTTGATCGATATATAAAAGGTGTCGTGTCTAACGTTCTTTCTCTGTAAAATGGTCGTTATCACTTCTACAGGATACAGTAGAGGAGCGCTTGCAACAAGTCCAAGCCAGGAAACAGCGTATGATAGCCGGAGCCTTGACGGATGAGGAAGTCCGATCGGCAAGGCTCGAGGAACTTAAAATGCTCTTCCGTTAGGTTATTGGCTAAAGCAATTAATCTTAGCATTGGATTGAAAGGAATCAGTGGCCGCCGTTTTGTACACATTTTCAATGCTTTATTTCTGTAGCTCTAAAGACCCGTGCAACTTCTGTACAGCTCTTTATGTTGATTGATTTTGTCCTTTTATTACTACATGTGCTGCGAGTGAGTGGTTTAAAACATTGAAAGCAAATGCAAGCACTAAACGACAAAATTGAAAGAACATTGAATGATTGTCCAAGTTTGAATGTTTTTATTAGGCTACTAGGTTTATAATAACATGGTTTGGTACTTTTTGAGTAGGAAAAAGTTTTAGCATTTGGAGAAATTAGTCACTTTTTGATTATGTCCAAATTCCAAGTATTTGAAGTCGTATTATTGATTGGAACACTTTATGCTCCCATGTGCTTATATTTAATAATGAGCTAGTAGGATCGTCTCGATTTGTGGAATGTCCAAATAAAAATATGACCTTAAAATCGGTATGTGTATGATAAAAATGTGAATGTTCATTTCTAAATAGACATAGAACTGGTAAGAATAGATTTATTGATTTGGAACTGGACATGGACAAAGCATATGATAAATTCGAACGGAATGCTATTCAGCTTACTATGCTTAGGTTTGGTTTGTGCTCTCAGTTTGTTAAATGAGTAATGGCCTGTATTCAATTCCCATCCTTTTCAGTTAATATCAATGACGGGACTTGTGGGTTGATTAATGCATCCAAAGGAGGGGACCTTTTTTTTCCCTTACCTTACATGTTCTTCATTATCTCTAAACTTCTGTCTGCCAAAATCACCACAAGCTGAGAACATGAATATGCTGCTTCGTCAATTGAATATCTCCTCTCCATGGTATTAGACTGTCAAGAAAAGGACCATTTCTGACTCATCTTATGTTTGCTGATGACACTCCTATTTTGTAAAGTAGATGTGAGACAGGTAGATTGTATTATGTTTATTCTCCAGTCTTACAAGGATTTCACCAGGGCTGAGCATAGGACTCGGAGAATTCCGAACCGTTCCGAAAATCGAACCGAAATCATTCCGAACAGAAAAATAATCGTGGACCGTTTGACTTTCTCCGAACCGAACTAAAAAAATAATTGGTACGGTTCTAGAGATTTCACAAATATTCGTACCGAGAACGGAACCGAACCGTCCCGTATTGTACCGAATCGAAGAACTGAAATTAAGAAGCGAATTATAACATTAAATGTGTTATTAATATATTTTATGTCAACTTTGATTCTATATAGTATAGTAATTAATATTAACCTTCACTTAAATTTCATGCTTAGTAATACTTGATTTACAATTAAATTTTTTCTATTATAAAATAATTATTTAAAATAATATGAAAGTTTAAAGAAAATTTTAAAGAAAAAAAATATTATATTATATTTGAATTTTAATTTTTCAATATTAGTTGCACAAATTTAGGTATAACTAAAATATAGAGTTACTTATAAAATTGATTTCAAAATAAAATCTTTAATGTGAGTAAGTACTGATGAATGTTGGTTGTATTAAAGCATATAAAAATTAAATAACTAAAATTTAGAGTTACTTCTAGTATTGATTTCAAAATAAAATCTTCAATATGATGAATAATGGATGAATGTTGTTCTTTTAAAGCATACAAAAATTAAAATATAACTAGGTAGTCATTCAAAAATAATTTAAAAAATAAAAAATCTCCGAAGATCCGAACCAAATCATACCGGACAGAACCGTCCCAATAGTCCCGAATACCGAACCGAACCGAACCAAAAAATAAAAATCTCTGAACCGAACCAAACCGACCTTTTGGTACGGTTACGGAGATCGAATTTTGGGATCTCCGAAGTTTGGTATGGTTCTGGAGATTTATCAATCTCTGAACCGTATGACCCACGCTCACCCCTAGATTTCACTGGCCAACAAATGAATTTGGCCAAGTCTTCGGCTTTTTTCAGCACGAACGCACCTAGGGGGTTAAAGACCAATCTGTTAACAGATGGATGACATCCAAGTTCACTCCTCTACCAGGTATCTGGACTTACCTATGGGAATTGACATATCAAAAAGAGAGGCTTTTGACTATATTCTTTTTTTTTTTTCGGTACAATGAAGGAGGCCAAAAGCCTAGAGGATTCGGTTAAGCTAGGACGCGCCGGGGATAAGAAACCCCAATAAGGTCATGATCAAGCCAAGGTCCTAAGCCAACAGGACTGTCCGATACACGTTGGAATCCAAGCGAAGATGAAGCCGCCAAACTCGGAATGTGATGCGCGGCAAAAGCTTCTCTATGCACATGGTGGATCCTCACACACCAACTATTCTGGACCATGTTCTGGATGGCCCAAACTATCGATGTATGTGCCCCAAAGTCGTCTTCAGTTCCGCAGACCATGCTTGTTACATATTTACTATCCACTTCTACCATAACCCGACGAAACCCTAAATCCCAAGCCAGCTGTAGTCCTTGTAAGAGACCCCAAAGCTCGGCTCTCGTGATGGTGCAGAACCCTATATTCATATAAAACCCCTCAATCCATCGACCGACTTCGTCCCGAATGAGCCCTCCCGCACTACCCATTCCAGTGGCTTTGCTAAACGCACCATCTGTATTTACTTTTATCCAACCCGGATCAGGCGACGTCCAGCGTATGATACGTGTAGTATATATGTTGACCCCAACCTTCGCATAGGCCGCGATCGCCCTGGCATATTTCTCCATCATCCGCAGCACCTCCATCTGTCTAGATTCGTGGCTCATTGTACGTTGGTTAAAGATCCGCTCATTTCTCCACGTCCATGCTCTTCATACAGCGAATGAGAATATGCTGCTCCATTCTTCAACCGTCCCCAGCCTGGCTATACTCAAGTTTGTACTTACCCAGACCTTGAAAGGCTGTTGGAAAAACTCATGCGCCTGGCTCGCCGGGATCAACCAACTCCACACTTCATTATTCGCCAGGCAATCTCGTAAAACATGGAGCAGCGATTCATCCTTTCCGCAAAAATCATACATCCCTGAGCTAGCAATATGACGCCCAACTCTCTCTAGATTGGTGAGAATCCGGCCTCCGGCCACCAGCCATAGAAAGTTACGGCCCTTTGCGGTGTCGGTGCTCTCAAAATTAATTTCCATAGGAGTTTGTCCTAGGTACTTTTTCATGCGTGAGAGCCTGATAAGCCGTCTTGGTCGAAAACGTACCATCCTGGGATAATCCCCACAAGATAAAATCTTCACAAACCGAACTCTTCGGAGGAAGCGTGCGACAATTCTTAAAGTAATACCAGTTGGAAGAAACCGTGGAACAAATCCCAATTCCACCTGCCGTAGTCGTCGATAAAGTTTGCCACCTTCGCATGGGGGTTCACTATTAGGAACTGTCGCTCAACGTAATTGATCAGCGGGCTATCCATACCAATCCATGGGTTGAGCCAAAACCTAATCTTTTTTTACCGTTACCAAGAACCCATCGCACCCCTCTCATTACGTCTGGCCATATTCTTCGCAGGGCCCGCAACAAGAAAGATCCCTGACTACAGCGAAAGTTCTCCAAAGTAGGCATCGGGCCAAAACCGTACTTAGCTGCTAGAACCCGTACTCACAAGGCATCCTGTTTCGTTAAAATTCCCCAACCTAGTTTCATCAACAGTGTATCGTTCATTCGACGGAGATCCTTGATGCCCAAGCCCCTCTCGTCCTTCGGTTTGCACAGGTCCTTCCATGCGACCAAGTGTATACTCTTCTTTGCTTCGATTCCTCCCCAAATAAAGGCCCGACTTCTCTTCTCGATCCCGTCCGTAATTGAGTGCGGTAGTAGGACGGATTGCATTTAGTAAGGGAGTGTGGTCAGGGCTGATTGGGTAAGGGTTACTCTTCCAGCCATTGAGAGCGATTTCATACGCCATCCGTCAAGTCGGGCCTCCATCTTTTCAACAATATGAGTAAAGGCTTCTTTCGTCAGACGGCCATAGATAATGGGTACTCCAAGATACTTCTCCAAATTGTCTGTTCACTTGAAGTTAAGCAGCTCGGCCAACCTAAGTTGTTCCTGGTTTCAATATTATTGGAAAAGAAGGCAAGAGTCTTCTCCGGGCTCACTTTAAGCCCCGAGTAATAGCAGAAGGAGTCAAGCACCCGTTTCAGTATGTGGGCTTGGTCATCTGAGGCCTCCAGAAAGAGAAGAAGGTCATCGACAAACATTAGAAAAGGTATTTTGACGGTCCCTCTTCCAACCGAAATCGGGCGCCACTCTGAGCCTTCAACCACCTTGTCGATAAGTTGGGCATGTCTCTCCATGTAGAGGACGAAGATATACGGGGAGATGGGGTCTCTTTGCCGGATTTCTCTAGTGGGTTGGAATGACTCACCAGTCATACAATTCCACAACAAGTTCATTGAAGCCGATGTTATGCTTGCCATAATCGCTGTGGTTAGTTTGGCCGGGTAGCCAGCTAGCCTCAAGGTATCATCAATAAAGTCCCACCTAAGGTAGTCATAAGCCTTCTTGAGGTCTACTTTTATAACCATATAGCCTCGCGACCAACGCTTACACCTCATCGAGTGGATCAATTCTTGGGCTACCACGATGTTATCAGTGATTTGACATTCCGGGACAAAGCTAGCTTGTGCTGGATGGATCAAGTTAGACAGAGTCCTTCATCCGATTCACCAATACTTTGGTGAAAAGTTTTTGAATTACGTTGAGGAGACTTATATGTCGGAATTGTCGAATAGTGGAAGCATTTGCCACTTTAGGTATTAAGACAATTAAAGTTTGGTTCACTTTGCTTGGGACAACACCGTCAGTCCACATTTTCTGAATAAAGGCCCGAACCAAGGGGCCTACAGTCTCTCAGTTATTCTTAAAGAATAGGGCATATAAACCGTCCACGCCTGGGGATTTTAATGAGCCCATATGGTTCAAGGCTGAAAAAAATCTCATCATCAGAAATCTCCTCCTCCATGGCCTGCCGCGTTGCTAAATCGACTACCGA